TTAGTCGTGTGTATGGCTTTCAGCATGAATATCCCAGGTGACAAAGGGTTAGATCTCTTAGTTGGGTGGGCATAGTATGAATTGGATCCTGTGAGTAGAGATTGCATTAGAGTAGAGGTGTCATCTTTTGGGTGTTTTCCCTAATGAATTTGCCCTCTAGATTATAAATGTAGAGTGATAGGAAATTCTCAGCAGGCAGTACCCCCTTTTCTCTTACCAGGTTAATTAGAAACCTGCCTGCTCTGGAATGTGTTCAATAGACAGTGGCCTTTTATTGAAATGTAATACTCAACTTACAAAATACATTCTGTAAGACAGATCTAAAAATATTAATCTCTACTCATATCATAGCAAAGGGAACAATCCTTTAAAGTTTTAATAAAAATCTTGATACAAGGTTATGATTCATTTCAGAACTGGAAGAACAGCTTTTTATTACTGCATGGGCATTTTTATGTCAGAGTCGCATGTGGGGGAGCCAGCCTAGGATGGCCCCCAATGATGGCCACCTCCTGGTATTCCCACCCTTGTATCATCCTCTCACGGTGGGCCATGCGACCGAGGGAACCCAGGTGAGGTGATGGAACATCACTTCCCAGATTAAGCTTGGAGAAACCAGAGCTTCCTCCTCAGGCTTCCTCTCTCGTGGAACACCTGCTGTGGGGGAAGCATGTGGGAAGCAGCCCTGTGGCCCACCAGGCACGGAAGTGAAGCCTCCTGCAAATTGTGAGTTTGAAAGTGGGGCTCTCTAGCCCCAGGCAAGTCTCCAGAGACTGCAGTCCTGCTGGAGAGTGCAAGCACCCAGCTAAGCCCCTCCCATTCCTGACTCTCAGAAATTGTGAGATAATAAATAATTTTTTATTATTTATTTTAAATTAAATCTTTATTGTTCAGATCATTACAGTTGTTCCCCTATTTTCCCCTTATAGCTCCCCTCCACCTGGTTCTCACCCCACCCTCTTCCCTTACCCCCCCCCCACAAAAAAAACCCCTGATTCTATTATAATCACGAGTTAATTCTGTTCATCAGATTATTCACTTGATTTTTTTTTGATTCACTTGATAGATGTGTATTTGTTGTTCATAATTGTATCTTTACTTTTCTTCTTCTTCTTCCTCTTCTTAAAGGATACGTTTCAGCATTTCATGTAATACTGGTTTGGTGGTGATGAACTCCTTTAGCTTTTCCTTATCTGTGAAGCTCTTTATCTGACCTTCACAA